GCAAAAGCCTAAGTGCCAACTGCTGAATCAAGATTTACCCAAATGTCACCAAAACCAGTGGCAAGTTAGTCAAATATAGGACTCATCATTGAATTAACAATTATTGAGTATCTATTATGTGCACATCACTGTTTAATCTATAAGGATGTCGTGATTTAGTGAGGAAGCATATACAAAAATAACCCTGAGGAAGGGCAGACTGTGATAATCAAATTAGAGACTCAAACCACATTCTGTGGGATTCAAATGGAAAAAAAAAGATTAATTCTTATTAGAAGTAATCAAGTCAACAATGTATGGGGTGGGCACAGGCTGTGAAAATCAGGACAACCAGCTAATTAATGTTGCACAGAATAAATAGTGGATTGAATCGGATCTATTGCTTGTCAGCTGGTTGTTTTGCTCCACAACTGCCTTAACCTCTGAATGACATGGAAGTGAGAAAGAAGAAGGAAGTGCAGCAGGACTCAAAGAGGAAGAAATGACTCTTGCTAAAGAAGGAAGAGAAGTGGAACCAACCACAGGGAGGAGAGATGGGGTAAAAATTGTTTTGATTCCGTTGTAGCATTTCCTTGAGTCTCTTCAGTTCTAAGAATAGGGAAAGTAAGAAAAGAAGAGAGCCTGTCATGGAACCAAAAGAAGACAGCATCAAAATAAGGAGAAAAGAGCAAAGAAGCAGAAATGACTTGGAATCATGCCATAGAATTATGCCACCATACTGCTGCTTATAAAACATTCATACTGAAAATGTTTTAGTGACGATACAAATAAGAAGGTAGAGGAGACATGGTTGTAGATAGTGATCTAAGGAAAAAAGTGTGTTACTATGGTTATCATTAGAACTTTTCACAAATAGTCCCACTCTTCCCATTAATGTACACCAGGGGATCAAACTGCCACCTCCTTTGAGGGTTGATATGGCTGTGTGGCTTGCATTGGCCAACAAAATGTGAGGAGAAGTGATAGACACGTAGAGTGTATGAGAAATACCTTTCAGCCACTAAGATTTGGAGTATTAGTATAAGCTAACCTGTCCTTACTAATATAGTTACCCAGAAAGAAAAGGAAAAGATTGCTAATATTTATGCAAAAAAAAAAGATTGAGAGAGAGAAATTTGTGGGACAGGTCAAAGGAGTACTATAAGAGTTGGATTCAAGTAAGAAATAAAATGTAAAGCTAAATAGTTAAGCCTTATAAAATGTGTAATGATTTCTTTCTTCTAATAGTTTGTTTGTATGTCTTTCTCTTTGTAATATTCTTCTTCATACAGAGCATCTGTTTTTACAGTTTCAACTACTGCCTCAATATGAATAATTAGAAACTCTTCTATCTGATTTTGACAACATTCACATTTCTAACTGCCTACAAAAATATACCCATTTTAAAAGACTCCCAGTACAACTGTTCACACATGTTCATGTCTAAGAATGAAACAATGAAACTCCTTAGAAGATCAAACCTCCCCCCAAAAAATTCCTTTCCCTTTTCTGTTAACAAAATCTCCCCTCAAGCCTTGCTAGTTAACTTAGATCACTTCCTCTTCTTATTCCTCTTTATTCAATCTCTGCTTCAAAATGCCTCTCAGATTTGCCACTTTCTCTACTCACATCTCAGCTACCCTAGTCCAAATGTATTTAACTCATACCTGGACCATGGTCATAAACTCCTCTCTTCTTCTCCAATGCATTCGCCCACCCCTCCATCCTGCCCACTCTTTCCAGACTAATCTTCCCTCCACAAAGGTCCTCTGCGACCCCTCAGCCTCATGTCCAACAGCATTCACCATAGCCTGCCCCTCCAGGGCTCTCCCACTGCTTACCAGCTGCTGTGCTCAGGCTGGCATGTTTGGTGTTTGCTGTGCTGTGAGCCATTCTGCTCATTCCTCCATCCTTGTTTTACCAAAATTTTTACCTCCAACTCTGCAAGTGCTCTCACTTTCATCTTCCCAATAAAAAATCCCACACATCTTTAAGGCTCACCTTATATCCCTTTTTCTCTTTTCCCAGAAGACTTAACAAATCCCACCCAAAGAGATTTCTCCCTTTCTCTACCCACATAGCACTTAGTCACAGAGTTTAAAGTTCTCTGAGAAGTCATATAGAACAATTCTTCAATTTTATAGTTGAGATTAAGAGACTTGGTTAGTCCTGCAACCAGTTAGTGACAACTAAAACTAGAATCCAGATGTCTTGAATGCATCTTCTTTCCCACAACATTTTACTACTTTTTGTTAACTGCAAGATGTTTTACAGTTTAATTCTATTCAACCTTATATTTTGTTTAGTGTTTAAAAATCATGTATCCCTGATAAGAGCATATGCAGCTTAGGAGCAATGATGTGATACAGGGTCTATATTAGGTAGAAGGCTCTTATTTTGGGGGCATTTAAGGCTGACATTCACAGTAAGGTTGAATGTAGAGCCAAACCATTAAACTAATATGTTTTGGAATAATTGGGAATCAGAGCCAGGAACACAAATCAAACCATGGAGAAAAAATAAGAGAGTAATTTAATGTCAGGAGCTTACAAAACCAGAATCAAGAGAAATGAGGAACATGCCATAGTATAAACTCCATGGTTGAACTATAGATGGTTCAAGAGGGGTAGGTCAATAGGGACATGTTCCTACCTAACTCCTAGAACAGCGAGTATAGGAAAAGAAAACGGATCCTTACCAGTATCCTCACAAGGCTCCTCTGTCTAGCTAGAGAAGACAACCCTAAAAGGGGACACCAAGCATGAGAAAGCATGATTTCTAATTACAGAAGGTCTTACTAGCCAGAGAGGGGCTGAGCAGGGAGGCCAGAGCTGCTCAGATCCAAAAGGTGTTAAGATGCCCTTAATTGGCTGTTGGCGCAACCCCATAATCCTCCTGAGGCAGAAGGATTGCTTGAGCCAGGAGTTCAAGCATTTGGTGCTCCCACTGCAGGCTTCAGACTGTGGGCTCATCAGAACCTATCCCTCTTGAACCCTGGCCCAGGCCCCTGGACAGAGGCCTATGCCTCTTAACTCCTATCCTAGCTGCAGGACAACAGATCTAGCCTACCAGTGATTGACTTGGCCTACCTGTGCTAACTCCCTGTATTTTGTTAACATAAATAGCTTAGCATGGAGTATACAAGATATTGCATGCTTCTACCCCACTTTTCTTTTCCAGTTTTATTTCCCAAGGTATCCCTTTTCTTATCTTAAGTGATAGCCATCCAGGCAGCCACCATTCCTCACATATAATACATATTTTCAGGCCTCCTTGTGCTGTTCCCTCTGCCTAGAGTGCTCTTCCTGTTCCCTTCCCACTCTATCTGACTGACAAGAATGTATTTATATTTTGAGATCCAACTCATATGCTTCTGCCGTAGTGAAGTATTCTCATATTCTCCGTAATCAGAAGAGAGGAACTCATTCCTTTCTCTAGACTCTCATAATCGGTTACTTGTGTTTTTCTTACAGCACGTTTTAAAAAATATGCTTTATAGTATGGTATAGTTTTAAAAACTTCACTGTATTATATTCAAGCACCTAGAGAACAAGAACTATGTCTACATTTTCACTGTACCCTCACAGGACCTAGTCCATCCTGTTGAATAAACATGTTGGGCTAGGCCAGGCATGGTGGCTCACATCTGTAATCCCAGTGCTTTGGGAGGCTGAGGCAGGGGTATCACTTGAGGCCAGGAGTTTGAGATCAGCCTGGGCAACATAGCAAGAGCTGTCTCCACAAAAAAATAAAACAAAAATAAAAAGCTAGCTGGGAGTGGTGGCATGCGCCTATAATCCCAGATATTTGGGAGGCTGAGGCAGAAGGATTGCTTGAGCCCAAAATCAACATTCTGCCCTAGAGTGGCACATTTATTACAATGAATGAACCTACGTTGACACATTGTTACCACCTGAAGTCCATAGTTTACATTAGGCTTCACTCTTGGTGCTATACGTACATGGTTGGGTTATGACAAATGTATAATGACAAGTATCCACCACCGTATCATACAAAGTAGTTTCACTGCTCTAAAGATTCTCTATGTTCTGCCTATTCATCCCTCCATTCCTGCGAACCCCTGACAACCAGTGATCTTTTTTACTGTCTCTGTAGTTTTGTCTTTTCCAGAATGTCATATAGCTGGAATCATAAAGTATGGAGCCATTTCAAGTTGTCTTCTTTCACTTAGTATAATTATATGGATTTAAGTTTCCTTTATGTCTTTTCACGGAGAATAGAGAGAATGCCACTCTTTGCATGCTTGATAGCTCATTTCTTTTTAGTGCTAAAAAACTTTCCGACCTCTGAATGTACCATGGTTTATTTACTGGTTCACCTACTGAAGAACACCTTGGTTACTTCCAAGTTTTGTCAATTATGAATAAAGCTGCTATAAACATTTGTGTGTGGGTTTTTATATAGACATGAGTTTTCAACTTATCTGATTAAATACCATGAAGCATAATTGCTGGATCATATAAAAAGATGTTTGGTTTTATGAGGAACTGCCAAGCTATCTTTCAAGATGGCTTTGCCGTTCTGCATTTCTACCAGCAATGAATGAGCTTTCTTGTTTCTCCATATCCTCACCAGCATTTGCTACTGTCAGTGTCTTGGATTTTTGCCATTCTAATTAGTGGTAGTAGCTCACTGTTTTTTAAATTTGCAATAGCCAGATGACATATAATGTTGAGTATCTTTTTAGGTGCTTATTTATCATCAGTTTATCTCCTTTGGAAAGGTACTACTCTCTATTTTTCACCTAAGAAAAATAAATACATGCCAATTTTTCAAACAATATACTGGTTTACAAAGTAAAAAGTTGAAGTTCTCTCTCTCTCAATCTCACTACCCAAAAGTAATCACTATTAACATTGTTTTCATTCAAGACATGTTTCTATGCATTTACATACCTACAAATGCATAGAAATGTATATTTTATTTACTCATATGATTTTTATTTTAATAGTATTTTATGAGTTACTTTTTAAAAACATGTTAAAGGTATATTACTTTAATATATCCTGGAGACCTTTCAATATCAGTAATGGGTGCAGAATATGCCAGAGGAAGAATGTGTTATAAAGTAACTAATCAGTTCCTTATTGGACATTTACATTGTTTTTTAAATTTTTCTTTTTTTTTAACCTTTAGGCAATTCTATAATGAACCACCTTCGATATATATACACACACACATCTCTGTACAACAATGCCAGTATTTCTGTGAACAGAGTCTTAGAAATGGAATTGCTGAGTCAAAGGTTACATAATTTAACAACATGATAGGAATTGTTCTCAAACTGCCAAACTGTGCACAAAAGAGACTGTTCAAATTTACACTCCCATCTAGTGTTAGAGAGCGGTTCAGTATTCAGAGAAGCCATAAGAGTTTTAAATAGGTGCCTCAGGAGCTACCGGGGAAAAGAAGGGGGTAAGAAAAGGGCTGGTAGTCCACACAGCAATCTCCTGTCCTCTTCAACGAGAACACCTCTCCTTTGATCAACATTATTTATTGGGCTTAGTTTAAAATTCCTCTTGAGGAGAAGTTTCTGGTAGTAGACATTTGAAAACCTTTGAAATAAAAAAATTACCTGTTTTTAAGTGGCAAAAATTATTAATTTATAGGTTACTTAGGAATGTTCTCAGGTGCAAGTAACAGATGACCCAACCACAGCAGATTGAATCAGCGAGGGTACAATTTTCTCATGTAACAGAAATGCAGCAGCTGCATTCGTTCGGTGGCTCAGTGGCCTTTTAGGCTTTTCCTTATGGTTGCAAGATGGCACCACTCCAACTCGAGCATTATGTTTGTATTCAAGACAAAGGAAAGGGAGACAGTTTGTATCAGTCACTCTGGCCCTTTTATCAGAATTGCAAAAGTGCTCCTAGAAGCAGTCTGCTTCTTCCTAAGATCTTTGCTCATAAGTTATTGGGCAGAGCTTTTTTTGTGTGTAGCATCTAATGGTCGCAAGTGAGGTTGGGAAAAGTGATTCATTTTTTCTGGCTTTTATAGTAAGGAAGTAGGCAAAAGATATGTTGGGTGTAGTTGTTGGGTTAGCCGGTCGTGATGTTCTGCCCCCAAGTACTCAGAATACTGAAGACTAAAGATGCAATGACAAACAAGATTGTCCTTATTCTTTTTGCTTGTTTTTTTGCTTGTAGATACAGCTATAACTTTATTACAAAATCATTCTTTTGGCATTAGTCGGTTACAGTGATAGCAAGATAATGTGACTGTGCAGACCAACTCTGATGGAACCACTGTATTCCCTGCTTACTGAACCAAACTTCGGCTACCTCATATCCATTACATACAAGTGACCCACAGTTATTACCGCTACAAATCTTGACGTGTGTACCACTGAGGGAGGAGTTGATGCTAAGGGAATAGATTACATGTTGATAAGACTACAAAAATTCCTTTATGGGACTTTTTCTTCCTCTTCCCATCCAGGGACTTTGCTTTAGAATAATCACATTACTTAGAGCTAGTCTGAGTAGCAGCAGCACCCAAGGAGCATCAGTTCTTATTAAAAAGCAATGCCTGTGTGATGCACTTTTACACCACAGGCAAAGGGAAAGATCCTTCTCATTTTAAACTCCTGCAGAGTCCCTTAATAAAAAATAAAAGCATTCCATCAAGTTCTTCTGGGTGGTGTTATTGCTGTACATTTGTTGGTGAGTCATTTTCTGTGCTGTGTTTGCTTTGAAAGGATCTTCCAATATATCTCCAATATGCCTTTCTTATCATGTCCTTTTCTTTAGCTAGGATTTCACATAACCCTAATGCTTTATTAAGAATGTCTTCCTTATTGTCACACTGGTTTTCTAGCATGTCTTCATAGATATCCACAAGAAAGGCAATTAGGTAGGGGGAACTATGACTTGGTTGTAAATCAAGTAATTGATTTAACAGATTAGGATATTTGGAAAGACCATGATCCTGTAAAATCCCTTTCAAATAGTTCCATGCACTTTCATTATGTGGCACTAGTTGAATCATTTCCAGAGTGTATTGGACTTCTCTCTCCAATACAGCATGATCATTGTAGCCAGTAGTGTTAGAAATAACGAAGTATCTTTGGTTCCAGACAGAGCTATTTCTCACATCCTCTTTGAGAAGTTGGTCCACATACTGCAGCTCATTATCCCAAAGTTTAAATTCCTGAATAACCCATTGTCGATGCCGCCAGGCATGATAATTCTTTGCATCCTGATTAAGAATATTAGCAAAAATTCAGGCTCCTGAGATGGATCTCTTAGCCATTCCACTAATACTCGCCTATGATGCCCAGCTTGATAGTTTTGGGGCTGCCCCTCAATTATTGCAGTGATGTAGTTCATTTCCTCATGTAGATCCTTCTGAAGTGACTTTAAGAGGACTCTCCGGAAATGCCACACTGTATAATTGGCTGCATTTAACTCAGTAGCATCCCAGGTTAGCTTAAAAGTTCGTTTGCTTCTTTCATCATGCTGCAGGACAGCTCGGAAGTAATCATAAACATCTCTAAATTTGTCACTATAAATGATCTGGACCACGGGATTGGGGCCATCATTCTGCAGCACTGGATCTATATCAGCCCATTCTGCTCTGTCCCTGCACAGGAGGTAGGAGGGTGAGTCTAGGCTCAGAAACCCGTCGTCCATGGGGGAAGCCACGGCTTCCCCAGCCTCAGCTGCCATCTCTTCCTCGTGCTGCTGCTGGGGCAGGGTGGATGCTGCTAGGGCGGGGGCTGCTCCAGCTGCCCAGGCTCCCCACCTTGCGCAGCCTCCCGACCCCCTCAGTGGCCACCATCTGAAGATAGTCCTTATTCTGACAGTGTTAACAAACAGAAGTGCAAACAAACCAGTTTGCACCAATATATAATAAAAACATTATATGTCCCAATGCAAAATATGTAGAGGAGATATTAGAGGCCGAAAGGAGAGAATGGTTAATTCTATCTCAAGTGGGGAGGGGTGGTAGGAGATCAAATAAGACTGTATCCAAAAAGTGACGTTTAAACAGAGTCTTGGAAAATGAGTAGATGCTCAGTGAGTGAAATGTATTCTAGGTAAAGGAATGGAGGTTCTGAGGCACAAATCCATGTGGTACATTCCAGGAGCTGCAAGCAGTTCATCATGACTGAGGAGGAGGTTTGGAGCTAGATGATGACCCGGGAGACCTAGGGAGAGATGAAGCTGGAAATTGATGCTGGGACCAAGTCACGCAGAGGGCCTCCTGTGTTTCACAACAAGGACTCAGGAAACCCTTGTGACCTGGACAGTGTCATTGAGATTGTGTCACCTAAGCTGTCCAGTGCAACCATAAAGTGGAAAGCATGTGGAAAAAAAAGTCCGAAGTACCTAAAACCTTTGTTGGATTTCCCTTTCACCTGGGTGCAGCTACACTTTAACACCCAAGTAGCCTGCACACCTGCTAGCCCTATTGGGTAAATACTATTGAGTCCTTAATCAACGATTGAGTTGTATTTGCCATCGACTCCTAGGGAAAGTTACTGCACTTCTCTGGGCCTCAGTTTTGTCATCTATAAAATAAAAATTAAACTTTGTAGTATAGAATTTTACTTCCCCCCCGAAATGTTTTCAGATGCATAATTCAGCAACATCAGCCTGGTGTAATTAAAGGGAAAACAACATCAAGAAAGGCTTTTGAGTCAGAAAGACCTGGGTGTGAATCCTGGCTCTCCATGTGTTAACAGAGTTACTATGTGACAACTCCTTGACCTGTGGTTTTCTCATATACAAAACAGGGATAAGGCACCTATCAGTGCCTGAAGCATAGCTATTACCCAATAAGTAGCACTGTTTTTATATTGTTTTTAAAATGTACATCTACCCTATAAGGTAGGTGAAATAGGTCTAAAGTTACCCTAAAGTTGAAGATCCAGAGGCATACAGATATTAGTAATTTGCCAAAAGAGCAGCCAGCTAGATAAGTGGTAGAACACAGCACAAATCCAAGTTCTTATTCTTTTCACAAATGGTGCAGCTTCTTTCCTCCAAGTGGTATGACGGGATTCAGATCTCTGTGATGCCTGTCAAGCGAATGATTTTATAAACAAATTAGATAGCCCCACACCTTCCTTAAATCCGAGCTCACGGAACAGGCAGGCTTGGGTTATCTCATGCTTTATAATCATTTATGGATGTGTGACTGGGATACTCTAGCCCTGTGTCTAGCTTTAGCATGACTATAACCTGCCAGGAGAGGGAGCTCATACTGACTCCTTGCTAAGGTTACAGATACCCTGGAGACTTCAAGGGCTGCAGCACGGCGAGGAAAGGAAGGGTGGGGTTTTCCTTGTTACGGGTAATGACTACGCAGCTTTCTGGGAATGCATATTTTGGGAAGAACACTGACATTATTTAAAAAAAAAAAAAAAAAGGTGAGATTATGACACAGAAAGAAATGACCCTTACCAGGAGGAAGTAGAAAGAAAAAAAGAGGAAGTGACTAGAGCAAAGGAAGACAAAAGGAAATTTGGCACAACAGGGTAAGTTTTGTTAATGCTGCACTTTTATTTAAATAGAAGGTAGACAAATGAAATATTTTTAGACTTGTACTGCAGGAACATAAGAATGGAATGAATGTTTTAAAAAAATATTCTGAGAACAGAATTAGCATGTGTCCTCCTAAGAATTCTTTCCCTATTTTGCTTCAATAAATATTAACTTGCCATATGTCCAAACCCTGTGCTAGGCACTAAAGATATGGAAATGAACAATTGAGCTCTTGATCTCAAAGAATGGTCATTACAGCAGAACAGACTTACACATGAGCAGTAAATTACCGGAAAGCCTGCCACCTTCTATGCAGTTGCTGCTAGTAGAGGACAGAGGGGAAAGCTCTTATATCACCATAGGGGAAGGTCAAGTAATATTTATGATAATTATAGATAATTTTTTTGTGGGCACTCACCACCTGGCAGGCAGTCTGCCAAGTGCTTTATGTGGATTATGTCATTTGAGCCTCATAATAATGCAGGTGTTATTCTGTGATTTTCATTCTTTAGATGTGAAAATAGAGAAGCAACTTTTCCAAAATTGTAAGTGGTGGAGAGAAGTTTTTCCAAGGAGAAAACCTGGGCTAAGTATTAAAAACAACAACAACAAAATCAGACAGAAATGAAAGAGAAGAAGGATGGTGAAAAGGGGAAATGGGGGAGAATATTCTGTGCAGAAATAACAGTATGAAAGAGGCTGGTCAGCAAGTGACAGCAGATTGCAGTGGAAAAATCACAAGTTGTTCAATGTTACTGGAGTTTTCAAGGCATGTTGGGGGGTAGAAAGAATTGAAATTAGAATGATGGGCATAGGTCAGATCACAATGGGCTAGCCATGTCCTGAAAAAGAGTTTGAACTTTATTCTGAAACCACTGAAGCATGAAATAAGGAAAACAAAAGAATAAGAATAAGAATGTTGTTATTGTGTGGGCTGAATAATGGTCCCCCGAAGATGGTTTCACATCCTGATATGGTTTGGGTGTTTGGTGCCTCGCAAAAACAGAGCCCCACACTTAGTTTAATGCCCTGCTGTTGCTCTCTTGAAATTTTTAATAATTACTTTACAAGGGGCTATTCTGCATTTTCATTTTGCACTGGGCCTCACAAATTATGTAGCCAGTATTGCCTAATTCTAACATTAATCCTGAAAAACAAAAAATTATACTCACTTTATAAACCAAGACACTGAAAATCTCAGAGAGGGAGTATAATCCAGTAATAAATGCCTTTAGTCAGGTAAATTCTGCTACTTGCCAGTCAGGGCCCCTAGGACAAGCTTCCTAATTCCTTCCAAACCTCACTTTCTTCTTTTGCACAGTAATTACAATATCTGCCTTGCAGAGTGGTCATGAGCAGTAGAAATAACATATGTAAAGTACTGACACAGTGCTGGCAGATCAGAAGAACTCGGATGGTAGTTGCTATTGCTCAAAGTTCCAGACTTAGTAAGAGTTGAAGAAGGATTTCATGCCTATAGTTTCTTTTTTTTCTCTCAGACTTGTATTTTGGAGGATCATTCTGGCACAATGTGGATGGTGAAATGTAAGACTAGAGGCAAGAAGACCAGTTCAGAAACTGTGGCAATGTCATAGACAATTTCTGGAAAGACTGTCCATCTCATGCCGTCTCTTTTTTCTTTGATATTTGCCTCTAATATGTAGAAGTCATCCTCCAGAGCTGTGTCCTCATCACATGACTCAACCTTCCTAACCTTCTTAATCTTTGCTGGTGCCCAGATTTCCCCAGAAATTTGGAATTTTGATCCAAGAGATGCAGAGGCTGAGCATTGTTGGAACCAAGTCATATTCATAGCAGACTTTCCAGAGAAGGCCCAGAACAACCTGCTTGCTGCTGAGGTCCCCAGAGCCACTCTGAAGCCTGCCTCTCCGCAATGATTTCTCAGTTTCTCCTTTCATTCCACACATGTATACATTCAATAAATCTTTTTCCATTCCCTTCTGAAACGACAAGTTGCAACCAATAGAACCATGTAACAATGCTAGAGTTATTGGGAGATATAGTTGAAACATTAATCAAATTTGTGTAATAGGTTTAGGGAGAAGAAGGTGCACATTTAGGAATATGTAGGTGCAGAAGAAAGAGTTTGGAGTGAGTTCCGCATTTCTGGCTTCAGTGACTGTGTTGCTGTTGCTACAGTCATAAAGGTAGTGCATATGGGGAAAAAAAAGGAGTGATCGGAGAGGGAGATACTGGACTTGAGGTGCCTAGAGGACATTCAAATGGAGATATACAGTTGGAAATTAGATATGTGCTTCTGGAATTCAAGAGAGTAGTCTAGGCTGGCAATACATTTTTGTGAATTTTCAGCATTTAAATTGTCATTACCGCCATGAGGGTGAGTGAGATTGCCCAGAGTATTAAGTTAAAAAAGAAGGATCCAAGAATGAAATCCTATATTTTTTAATACCAATGTATAAGAATCAGGTAGAAGAAAAGAAACTCTGAAAGGAGGCTTAGAAGGAATGGCCAGGGAGGGAGAAGCAGAACCAGGAGAAGTGCCAAATGAAAGGAGAATGTGGAAAAAGATATGACGTCTAAATCAGTCCAGCATCATTACCAGTGTCCTCTTCATCTACAGCTGAGGCTGCAGTCACCCTATCAAACATACCTCCTGAGCCTGCTCCCAGACCCGGGGATTTTTTTTCTTTTCTTTTCTTTTTCTTTTTTTTTTTTTTTTTTAAGATGGAGTCTCACTCTGTCACCCAGGCTGGAGTGCAGTGGCGCGATCTTAGCTCACTGCAGCGTTCGCCTCCTGGGTTCAAGCGATTCTTGTGCCTTAGCCTCCTGAGTAGCTGGGATTATAGGTGACTGCCACCACGCCCAGGATAATTTTTGTATTTTTAGTAGAGATGAGGTTTCATCATGTTGGGCTGGTCTCGAACTCCTGACCTCGGGTGATCTGCCTTCCTTGGCTTCCCAAAGTATTGGGACTACAGGCGTGAGTCACTACGCCCTGCCCAAACCCAGGGAATTTCTTTAAGACCCATCTTCTGCCCTTTGCTACGGCCCTAGATTCTCCCACACTGCTTGGCTTTTTTGGATGGATGGTTTAGAGTAACAGCTGATGGCTGTTAAAATATCATGAGTTCATCAACAATGAAAGAAATGCAAATTGAACAGCCTAAGATTGTTAAGATTCAGGCCAGGTGTGATGGCTCATGCCTGTAATCCCAGCACTTTGGGAGGCCGCGGCAGGCAGATCACCTGAGGCCAGGAGTTTGCGACCAACCTGGCCAACATGCTGAAACCTCATTTCTACTAAAAAAT